AGTTCAGAGAAGGCGATATCCTTGGGGAGAGAGTTCCAGAGCTTGGGGATATAACAGGAGAAGGGCCTGTCACCCATACAATGTATACATGCTTGGGGGACAGTAAGGAGACCAGAATTAGAAGAGCGAAGGTTGTGAGGTGGGGAGTAGGGCGATAATAGTTCAGACAGGTACTGAGGTGCCAAGCCACGCAGAGCCTTATACAGTAGGTGAGCATGAGAATTTTAAGGTCTACACGGAATTTGACCAGAAGCCAGTGCAAGGACTCCAGGTTAGGAGTAATGTGATCATTTGGACTAGACCTGGTCAGGATTCTGGCTGCTGAATTTTAGACATACTGCAGTTTGTTCAAAGTAGATTTAGATTTAAAATGCATACAAATAAAATGAGTGTACTTTCTCAAAGCAAATGCGTACTGTAATGAATATCCAGCAGACACTAAATTCCATTAAAACTATGTAATAAACTAACACATGATCAAAAACACAAACACCTGATAATACCAAACATTTCATCATCACACTTTGTGAGTCCACAGTCATACTCTACCATCTGATTGAAACATGTAGTGTAACTGTTTCACACTATTCACCAAATCAAAGTAACAACTTGGATGATCTTTGCACCACTGAAGGCAGTGGTGAGGAGAAGCTTTTTGACAGAGCTGCCTGATCATAAGGCTGCTCATCTGCAGGTTTTCATAGAAAATAATGTGTAAAGTGCTGCAATGATAGCCTTTCTGCTCCCCTATGACACATCAAAGATTTCTGTATGTTTCTCCAAAATTAGAGCATCTGTTCTGTTTTTACTGTCCTTTTCACTGTGTATCTGCTGTTCATGTTTCTTTGAGTTTGACTACAAGTATGACAATTTGGATCAGTATAGCCTTTCCTGGTCTGAGTATGTGATACTAATTTCACTGCATAAATTGATTTCACAGTACAAATTGGTGTCGGATATAGGTAAAAGAGAAAGTCAAATTTTAAAGACATTGTAATCCCAGCCCCAAATATTTTTTCAGTTATTCTACCAAATAGAGCCTGGATTTTATTCTGCTAGTGAGGTTCTTATTTGTAACACAACTCCACTAAATGAAAAAACACTGGAATCTACAATATTGCTATATTAACTAAAATATCTGCTGATTGCATGAGAATTCTTTGCTGGAGAAATTATCTGATATAGTACATGCCACAGCCATAATTTACCACTTGTCTTTATAATCCTCATACCAAGGCTGGTTGAGCTAATCTATGACATTGTTCTCTATTTATTTTTTAGATAAAGGCAGGCTTTGTCAGATAAAAACAGTGGTTGGTTTCACAACATGCACAGAATTGTAACATATTGTAACATCATGGTAGATGAGAAATTCCCGACCATTTTCTGTATTAGCAGTAATGAGTACTTGTAGATACATTAGTTCAATCCTAAATATGCCTGATTTGTACTCAAAAGCAAATCATGAGAATGTTTTATCAATGACCATATTTGTTCTTTGCCAATTTCATTAGAAAAATATTTTTTAAATTTGGAGCAATAATGTTTTAACATGCATTTGTCTGTGTAATTTTCAGCTAACAGTAATGTTTAATTTAGAAATTACGCCAGATGCCAGAAAAAAAAAATATCTATTTTATAAATACTGAAGAAAGATATACAGGTAAGATATGCAAAAGGGGTTAACTGATTTCTTTCTGCACAAAGACTTCTTTTGGTACAATACATTCCATGCTTAAGCACTTTTGAGTTATGGCAGGGACAGGAATGAACTGATAAGAAATTCCAAGTGTGAGCTAGAGACTCCCTAACCATGGGAAGAGGAGACCAGCCATTCAAAGTGTTCAAGATCTGGAGAATGTCCGAACACAGGTGACCTCCAACCATTACCGTAGTAACAATTTGCGTCAGAACGGCTGAAGTTTGCTATATAAACTGGATCTTTGTACTGTACCTATATCTCTGAACAATTCTTTCATCTTATTGTTCCTTGCATGCAATAAACTCAGTTGTTTAAAATTCATCTCAGGGTCCAGAACTAATTTGTCTTATAAAACAATATATATGCATAAAATAAAGAATATCAAATAACGTACAGTATATTACCTGAAAAAAAAAAATTGTTGCTATTTGCAAACAAAAATATAATTTCTTCCTACTGTTACTTAATGCTGTATATAGGTGCTAACCCCCTATAGTTGTTGAGTTTATGCAACATTTCTTTCTAGTTTTTGCAAAGATTTCACTTTCTTTATAATGGATAATGCATTATGATTCCTCTTACCACTGTAGGAGGTGACTGTATCTGTAGGTTGCTTAGATATTACTGTGAATTCAATCACAGTGCAGTGAATAGCAGTAACATAGATCACTTGACTTGTCTTTGGTTAACTGAGCAGCAGGAAGCAAATTATACTGTAGTTTTGTCTGATTTTGAAATTACAGTATGTCTCCCCTCCAACTGTGCTGGAAGAAACTAATATCTTATGGGAAAATTGGGGATAGAGGAATGAGGTTGTGAAAAATTCCCTGTTAGCACTATAAATCTGGCATTTTTTTACATTGTTAATATAATGGCATTAAAAAGTTCAATAAAAATAAATGAATATGAGGAATATGAATATGAGGATATAAGAGTATATCGGTTACTTAATTGTAAAGATAAATCAGTAATAAACGCACTCAGTCATTTAATCATCACTTACTCATTTATCTGCTCAGTGACTTTGAGAAAACTGCAGATGACCTAGTCTGCAGTCTATCTAAAACTGTAATTTTCTCCATTGAAGTCATCGCTTTCCTATTTATTAACTTTCAATATCATAACTATTTAATACTTTCACATTTATTAAATAGTTATGATAGACAAAATACAGGAACGACAAGCAACAAATCGTAAAAACAACAAACAATTAACAGTTTAAAGTATGGATTGGGACGCAAGGAGTGTCGCAATGCTGCCTGGAATGGAGAGAAAAGACATGAGAAATACAACTAGATTTTTAGAAGCCATTTCAGGGATCAACCGCACTGTAGTGAAATTTCCACTTTCAGGTCGCTTTTTTATGCATTATGTGAAAACAGTGCTGGGGGAATCCGTGTTGGGTGGCTGGGATGACTTTGTTGATGTCTTCATCTAAGCTGACTTACAATTGATTTAGAATTGTCATTTGATTTACAATTTCAAAATGTTAAATATTGTTCTACATAAAATATTGTCACAGCTTTGGGTGACTCAAGACGTGTCTCTTAGCTTTTAGATAATGTTTGTGACACTGAGAAGAGTAAACACTTCTAACTAAGCAGAGGGGATGTTTTCTGAGGTCTGGTGGGATCCCTTGAGCAGAAACAATAGTAAAGTTTATCTTGGTATGCCTAGGCAAATTGTGGATTAATGATTGCAAAGGAGCAGGGCAGAAAGACACAGTATAGGTTCACCTTAAGAGCACAGGGTAGAGAAGAGAAGCAGGAGAAAGAAGCAAGGAGAGCAAGGAGAGGAGAGAGGAGTCCAGAGCAGTTGGGACTACAAGCTTACGCCAGACGAGAGCTATTACTGTACTTCATGATCATCCAAACAAAACCTGACTGGAGTCAAGTATTTGAACCTTGTTAGAGAGAGCATGGTATTCTGTGTTTTTAGGGAACTTGGGTTTCCTGGTAACTCAGTTAGAAAAGTCTACCTGCTTAGGGTGTATTTTTATGAATAGGGATATAGGATCCCATTTATTTTGTGGCATCTAGGGTGCAGAGAGAGAGAGATTTAACTGCAGGCTACATCTTTACTTAGTCAGAAGGCAGCTCATCTCTTATGTGGCCTCTGTAGGCATGTTAAGAGTTTAGTGCTTAGTAGCAGTCTGGGGATTTCTGGGTGACCAGAACGTTAGGGCTCTGAAATGGCTTGTCTGTAAATACTGTATATAAAGTAACATGTTTTGTTGTGTGTTGTGTCATTGTTTTTAAATATCTCTCCAGCCCCATTTTTAATTATATAATGTAACTTGGTGTGTTATATGTTTTGTGTCTTATATAATTTATTGTAATAAATATTTGCTTTAGCCAAGTGTGTCTGGATTATTACTCCTCTCAACAAAGCTGTACCAGAGAATAAAGAATTCATGTGCCTCTGTACCAGCCGCCCGGGTATAAAAATCACTTACAAGTCGGGGCTTGACTAAACCACTCGGACAATTCCTGAGTTTCACCAGTTTCGTAACCCCCCAATTTGTAACACTATTGTCTTAATATATTAACACTGTATTAGCTACTATTGCAATATTAACAAATTATAAAATTCTTAACACTTGATTGAACAGTAAAATAAAGATTACAATTCACATTATTTCAAACTGAATATTCTTAAAGATGTCAGAATTTTGGACAATTTCAAAGTTAGGGACACCTGGATTTGAGATTGTGAACCTGTAATCCCGTTGTGCTAATTTTTCAACGTATTTCTAATTTTTCATGATATGTCATCAATAAAAATAATTTACATTAACTTGGGTGGAAAAAGTGATTGAAATATTCTTTCAAAAAATATAATTGAGAAAGTACAAACTAGAAGGCCTATGAAATTATTTTTTATCTATCAAAATAGTACCATTTATAAATAAATGAAATGTTAGTTTCTTATTAGGAAAAGTAAAACAACTAATAGATTGTAAATTCAAAACAAATAAACATCCATCTATTTTCTCTTTGCTTTATTCAGTACAGGGTCAAAGGGTACACCGGAGCCTCAAAAGCCACAAGGCAGGATACACCCTGGACAGGACCAGTATGTCTTTGGTCTGTTGGAGGAAACCCACGCGAACACAGGCCGGACATACAAACTCCACGCAGATTGCACTGCAGGAACTGAAGCCAAGGCCCCAGCCCTACAAGGCAGCAGTGCTAACCACTCTGCCACCGTGCCACCCCCCAAAATATACAACATCTTCCATGAAAATCAAATCAAATAATAAAAGTAGGCAACAAACCCATTTGAGGTAAATGCATACTTAGCAGTGATACAGGTGCATCCACTGGTAGATTTCCGCCTTTGCAGTTCTGTCTCTGAGCCTGTGTCGGAGGGACTGGTTTGTAGGACTGGCCTGTAGCTCGATACATTGCCTGGACCCAAAGGACTCTGTCTTGGTCATCATCACTGGCAAAAACCACCATGTCACCTTCTTTCACTGCATTGAAAAAAGCTCTTCCACCAGTAAGACCTGTTAACAGAAAAAGAAAACATTCTTTCTGTAAAAAATAAAGAGACACATACAGCAAGTCTTCATGCTTAGAAAAATGTGCTATTCCTCCATAATAAAGTTGGATTTGTACTTAGTAACTAATTTTAGAAAAGTAAAGGCTGTACAAGGGCTCAGCTGGAGTGTATGTTTCTGTTTTGCTGGATATTTAAATTTAATCATTCATTCATTATCTGACAGAAGCTTCTGTTTGAATCCTTTAATTCTATTTCATCTCACTCCATTGATTATTACACTTATACAAGCATGGGAAGCAGGTGATAAAGTGTTTCTGAAATCACTCCAGAATTTGTGGATCATACAAGAATACATTAAGTACAGAGCTAGGTTATTAGGCAATTATTATATATATATACACTGCCCTTCAGATTTATTCATATGCCAGAAGAAATAGGAAAAATCTATAATAATTTATTATATGGGGTGGGGTGGGGTGGTGTGGTGGCTCTGGCTAAGCATCTGCATCTGTGGCTGGAAGGTTGCCAGTTCGTATCCTGCAGCTGACAGAGGAATCCTACTCTGTTGGGCCCTTGAGCAAGGCCCTTAACCCCAACTGCTCCAGGGGCGCTTTACAAATGGCTTGCCCTGCACTCTGACCCCAAGCTTCTCCCTCTGTCTGGGTGTCTCAAGTTGGGGTATGTGAAAAGACAAATTCTTAATACAAGAAATGATATATGACCAATAAATTGATCTTATCTTTTGTCTTAAAATACAAAGACTTAAAGATTGGACAAAGTTTTGCTTAAAAATCTAAAAATGTAATTCAATAATCTATTAAAGAGCATTGCACAGAAAAATCATCTTTGTCATAAGTAATCGAAGTCCAGAAAACACAAAAATCACATTTAGTTTCACCCCTGTAGTTAGTATTTTGTAAATTAAATTGACAAGACGCATCCTGTAGTGTGCTGTGGGGTTCTAATATGTCTAAAGAAGGATTTTTGACCATTGCTCCAGGCAGAATTTCTCTATGTCCTTTAGACCCTTTGATTTTCCTTAGTGAACTGTCTTTCTGTTTGAATGAAGTCTGTATATTCCTGATGACCAATAAAGAATATTTATTTGATATGCTTTTAACTTCTTTATTGATCTGGATATGTGCTTTGGATCATTGACTTTGCTGGAATGTCTATTTGTCCAAAATGTTCTGGTACATGTTGGATTTCGTGATTTCCTCTAAACTAACAAGGACTTTTCAGAAACTAAATCATAATAACCCCCCAGCCATATTTCATATGAAATGTAAATTGAGTGTATTCTCAAAATGCATTTTACATTTTTGATACCAAACATAACACTGATGAGCATATCTGAAAACTAATTCTCATTTCATCCTGTCCATAAGACATGGTTCCAATGGTCATTCTGCTGTACATCAGAACATAAGTAAGAATGAGAGCAAGTACTTAAAGGAGGTAGTAGTTTATTGATCCAAGGATCTCGTCCTGGTGTTTATTGAAGAAACAGGGTTAACTGCTTGTACAACATGGTACAACAACCCTTTGAGGAAAATATGCCTACTGTGTACATCTTTAATACACTTCCACATAGTTTACATTTCTTTTTTTCTGGTTTTAATCTCACTCTTTATTCCGAGTTGATTTTGTAATCTGTTTGAGGAATTTGAATACTAGGATGAGGTCTCCTAGTAGTCTTCTCTGATCAAAACTAAAAAAAAAGATCTATTCTTTAAGCCTTCTAATGTATAACATTCCTTTTATGCCCCGGAATACTCTGGATGGATTCCAGGATAGCCGTCTTTTATAAACATCATAATTATACACAATATTCTGAATGAGGTTTTACTAATGCATTACACAACTTTTACATAACATCCTTTGTTAAGTTATGTTGTTTTAACTATACAGTAGGTATTGTAACATTGTTGCCTTTTTATTGCTTCCCCATATTCTGGGGAAGATCGAAATGATGTGCTAACATAAAACTTTGTCATAATGACTCTCTTCAAGTTCTGCATTTCTGATTTTATATTTAAAAGTACATATTTCTTTGCTCCCTGCATGTAATACTCTGCAAATCTCCACATTAAATGTCACCTGCTAGTTGTACAGTATGTGTAGTCTTTTATCCAAATCTTTTAAATTTCCTTTCAGCTTCTACAGTGTTTGTAAATCACCCTATTGTCGTATTGTCTGCAAATTTATTAACTATACCACAATCTAGATGATTTATATAAATTAAGAAGAAGAGTGGTCCTAGTACATTTTCTTGTGGTAATCCACTATTTACTGTATATCACCTCAGTTTGAGCCTTCTCATCCTTATCTATTAACCAATTCTCAATCCAAACACATATTTACCCCAAAATGAACAGCCTGTAATTTGAGAATTAATCCTTTGAGGAGCTTCATTAAAAGCCTTTTGAAAATATAAATACATCATATTGTATACTCTTTGTGTGTCCATTTTTGTTGTTATCGTTCAAATAATTAACAGATTAAGCTAGACACACCTTTTCTAAACCCATGTTGACTGCCTCCGAGGATCCTATTTCCATTTTGTTATACTCCATATGTCTAATTTTGTTCATGAAATCTTATGTCATATAACTGAGTCATATTTGTCTATAATTGTTTCAGTTTTCTACACTTTTTGTAGATTAGCAATACATTAGCAATTCTCAAGTCCATCTGTACTACCCCTGTTTTGTGTGACTACTGGTGAGGTGCAGCAACAGCTTATGAGTACAATTGGCAAGATACCATTTGGACACCCAAGATATGTTGACTTCCTTCATGAACACCTGAGCAAAATACTCATTTAATAAATCGGCCACTTTCCTTTCATGTTGAGAGGTTTCCCATTATTCTCCTGGTTACAAATATTTGGCAAATGTGTTTGGCAAATGTGAGCCACCTCTTTTTGTGGTTTGCCCACATAGAAAGCTGCTTCCTTGGAACCTGACAATGAATGTCATATTGGTACAGACAAATTTCAGAAGTTTTAAATTTCAGAAATCTTAGAAGTGTTCAACATTTCAGTGATCTCTAGCTGTTGCCTCTGCATTTCTGTTTGTTTCCCAGATCATTTGTCTCAGAGTCCGTGGTGGCAAGATATACAGTACTTGTGCCCTCTTCCAAGCAGGGATATTACTATACCAGCAGCCTTAGCTTTTTTTGAAAATGGACACTACAGTGCAAAATGGTAGATTAGTGGATTATTTTACTGAGGTTGGTAACCATTTCTCAGAGCTGTCTTACCTTAACTATGATGTTGTGTTCTACTACTGAGTGTCTCCCTTTTTTACCTCTGGGAACTTTCACAGGCCTCTGAATAGTTCCAAAGGCTTCTTCTACATCTCCAAAGTACATAATGTTATTGTAGATTTGTTTTTGTTGGATTTTATTGAAGGGAATACTTAGAGGGGTAAATAAATGTGACCCTCGTGTTTTCTGGAATTGAGTCTACATAGGGTTATGTGTGACTTAAAAGGTATATACAGTAAATATTGAAAGACTGCTTGCTTGGCAATGTTATTAACTCACATGCATGCAAAAATGTGAAAGATTTGTTTGTAAAAGATAATACAAAGAGAAATAATATAGAAAAATAATCTAATTCCAGGTAAGTAAATGAATTTCAACATCTGGCTATGGAACTAAGACTAGAATAATTTATATAATCATTGAAAGGTGGATTAATAAATAGATTGTGTTGACATGCAGAAGGCTAATCACCTAGAAGACATCTGAAAAATACCAAGTAACTGAAAAGTAATTGGGTGTAACTGAAAAGTTAAATGCCAAAAAAAAATCAATGACCTGGCTGAGGGTCAGTATAGTCAACAGTATATCCTTCAAGTTGCATTAATTCCTGAGGTTCCGATTTCTTCTCTCTGTAACTGCACATGGCAAAAGTGTACTGGCTAACCTGAAACAGACAAGGAAAACTGCAGCTTAAATAATACTAACACATGTGGTTATCTTGTATTTCATTACCAAATACATGCACTATTGAAAAATAAATTTAAAAGGTCTCTGAAAAAGATAAAGTGCCAGGATGAATAATTTAACTTGAGTGTTCACAACAAAAATAAAATACAACCCAAATCCTAATACTCCTGGCACAGCACTGTTTCAAAACATGTCTATTCTTAGAATAAATGTCTTATCTTCATGGTCAGGAAAAATAAACACGTTTATTAAGAAGAATAAATAACTTAAGTCTCCTGCTTACCTGGACAAGTACAAAATACCTCCTTTTCCAGCGTTTCCAGACCTTCTGCCCGAGGGCATACAGATACCTTGTTTTTAAAAAAAGGGAAAGGAAAATTAATACTTTTGCTGAAAAATAAAATACCTTGTATGTGTGATTGAGTGTTTCATGATGTCCAAAAATAAAGCCAAAACGTCCAGTATATATTAAATAATATTAAATACTATTTAAATAGTATATATTAAATAACTCTTGAATGTTTTAGGTTAAAATAATTTTCTTTTTCTGGTGTGTATCCAGTAACTACATTACTTATGCTTTGATATACAGTATATAAACTGAGAATCTGAGCTTAGTTAAAATACAAAGGTATCGAGTGTTTATATGTGAGATAATCACTGAACACTGTAACAGGAATAAAGTGATATATTTAAAATTAATTTAATGTTGATTTTCTACTCTAATAATAGAGTGGAGAGAAGGACCACAATCCGGACAAAAGTTTAACTGTGGCTCTCTCTTTAAAGACAAACTGTTTAACTCGGCAAGCTTCTGGTGTTACATAGGATTAGGTAACAAAGAAATTAGTACCATATAAAAGAAGCCAGGATTTAACACAGTGAAGAGCCTTATGTCATAAGGATTTACAAACCACTATAAACACAGTAAACTAATCCAACTGTTGAAATCCTTTCCCTAGTGCTCACCCAAATTAGGTGAGATTTCCAAGAGATTAATGCCTCCCTGGTTAACAGGTTGTGTACACAGTAAAATGCATGTACTAGTGAAATAAATAGTGGAGTACATGACCAGATTTTGATAGCTATGTAACTGATGTCTTTGTTTTCTGGGATTTAAAAAAACAAGGATAGAATGAAAACCATGTTTAACGTCTTACCAAACTACATAAAAAAATGATTAATGTAAAAATAAGGTTTTGTCTGGGAAATCATCAAAAATGAAACCCAGTGACAATACTTAGTAAGAACAGTACCCATTTTACCTTATGCTGCAGTTATAAGGTTCAAATATAAAAGTAAATATTACGTTGCAAACATATTAATACACATTAAGAAGCTAAAAGCTCATAGATTAATTCCACATTTACCTGGATTCTACTAAATGAACAGCTGAAAGATACAGAAATGAATTGTTTTTGTTAAAACTATTACTTATGTTAGAAGAAAAAAAGACCCCCTCACAAAAGTTCCTTTTTATTTCAATCCATCTTCCAAATCAGGTGATAGAAGAAATCTGAGGCTCGAATAATCAATCATCCATTCTTGCAAATCAAACAATGGGAAAATATATGGGGGGAAAAAATCAATATATAGTGAGACTCTTTATAGTTGGAAAGGGGTCCCTTGAAGAAAAACTCCCAGCCAAGGTTGAAAGAGCAATTAATGCAGTCTAAGAAATCTGGGCCATTCTGATCGTGTTCGGTTAACATGTGGCAGAAGTAATCATCCACTTGTGAAAATGATTTTCAGTTCATTCTCAAACACCTTTCAGACACTCATGATCCCATTTAACTGACAACAATACAGGCTATCTGTGGGCATCACAGCACTATATGTGAGAACCAATAAGACAGAATGCCCACAGGCACTTGCAGTCATCACTGCACATTCTGTGCTCACTGCATAATAGAAGTCCTCTGCAGACTACATTCCTTCTTGCATTCAATATCCACAAGATTAAGCCATTTTTGTCTTCGTTTAAAAGATAAGACCACCAAATCAACACAACAGTATGATGGAGGCCATCAAAAACTCCCATTGCTGAAAGAAAAATTATATTTTATTTTTCTTTTTAAGAAGAACATAAATAAATAACGAGACAACCTTCAATAAATGGAAACATTCCAGACAAAATAAAAATGCATTAGCTATATTCACATTGACTCAAAAGAGGTTTTTCTTCAGTGGGACAATGAAGCTTTCTAATTCTGTCCTTTAGTTTGATTCATACTGTATGTGTTCAAAAAATCTTTAAAAATTTTACATTTCACATCACCTCCACTAAGCCTACACAAAACAATCGTGGATATCGCTGAGGTGTAAACTACAGAGAAGAGGAAAATTGCTAGTTGACACAAAATATAGTTGATTCTTTTTACTTAGTTGTAATTAAAACTTTAATTGCAAAGGATGACAAACTACTTTTGATTTTTATAATTAACAATGTTTAACAGATAGATCACCAACCTAAATGCAATGTCTCATCATAAATTATCTAAAGAAAAATAATGAGTTTTTAATATATACAGTACTTTATTAGTCTGTGCTCTCATTATATGAGCTGTCATTCTTCACAAATTTAAGATCTGGATTACCTGCATTTAGTAAAAATATAAATATATTGGAACACTAACCAGAAAATAACATTTTACAAATCTGGTGATTATAAATGACTGAAATTCCTTAATTTACTTTAAAAAATAGTTTTCTATTGGATCACAAAACTGAAAGAACATTCTATTAATGCAAGCTTAAGAAAGACTACAAACAAGATGTATAAACATTCACTCCTTTCAACTAGACCCAACTTGCTCTTTTAGCACGATCTTCATGTAAAGAAAGACAAGTACTCATAATTCCTGAATACATTTAACGGAGGAATAAAATAATAGGAAAAACAGGAGATATAATTTAAAGTGCATAAAAAACCTTAATATACTTTAGATTGATTTAACTTGAGGTTTGAAAGAAGCAAAGAATACTGTTAATATTAAATGTGGTCATACTAAAATGCTGTATGCTATAATATAGCATAGTATAACATATACTACTCTTCACTGAGCAATGTGATAAATGTTATCACCACAGCATAAATAAAATCGTGTGCTTTACAACCTGATCACAAAAAAGTAATTGAAACATTTTAATATTACTGAGTAGAGTATGTCATGTTGCATTCAGTATAAGTATGATCATATCAGATGGAATTTGACATAAAATAAAAAGAAATCCCCTGGATTAGACATGAGAAATAGCTCTGTAGTGTTTCTTACTGCATTTTTTTAAATGAATAATTCTGGGTAGTTCAAGAGAGAAAATATTTATAGCGTGAGGCAATACTATTTATTTAAAGCCAGGTAACCTATGAACAGGTAAATCAACATATACAGTATATGTAAAAAGATTAAATCTAATATATGAATACTTAAAATGAATACAGAAAACTAGAAAACCCATAAGAAACACTTTACAATTATATTTGTTTTTTCTAGTTTATTGAAGATATTTGTATATTTTCAAATTTTCTTTAAAAAACAACAAATGCCACTGAAATTAACAATAAATTCACTTGTAACATATATATTATATGAATGTATATAATATAAAATATTAAATAATATGAAATGTCTCTCATTTTGAAAGAAGGTATTCAATTTGAGGTTCCTTGGAATCTATAACACAAAAATTTTCATTTCATAAATGAAAATTACTTCCTTTTTTGTAGTCAAGATGTGGAGATCTTGAAATAACCTGAATACCTAGATGACAAAGAAATTGTCATCTCAAAATTATTGGAAACTTAAATGTACTTATCGAAATTATAAAGTAATTTAAAATCACTCTGCAAAATTATATTATGTATATAGTTTTGTAATAAAACACAATTTCAAAACATACGTTCATCTTAATTTGATCACTTATTTAATTTTATCATTAGATAAAGAAACACAAAGGGTAACAGAAGCTTCTAAAAGACTTGCGGCACTCGTCATTTATTTCAAAAACATCAACAGTGCCCTCTTGTGGATATTTGCTTAAATCATAAAAAATATCGCAATTCGAGAGAACTTGTAAATACAGTACATACAGACAGGATTGTGAGTCTTTAAGCAGTCACTTTTCTCTTAAAAACAACTTTAAATGATGGAAATATATAACTTCATGCAAAAAGAGTGCTTCATATATAACATAGAACATATTCATAAAGATTTATAAGAAACTGATAAAAGTGCCTTTAAGAATGTTTCAAGGCATAATTTTATCAGTGTATTCTGTGAAAGGCAACAACAATATGTGGTTCTGAACTGTTGGCTAGGGAAAGGAACAGGTAGATCACAGTATTCTTGCCTTTGTATAAACAGGACATTGATAATATACAACAATGGTGTACTAGACCAAAGATGAAGCAATATTTTGTTTTAGCATTTTTTAGAATTTAGGATTATTTGAAAAAAATCATTGGAATTTTGAAAATGTCTGAATTTACAGAAAACCATCGTGCAAAAAAATTAGATCTGTGGAAAATGATCCTTACACATAATGTATCCTGCTACTGGCGTACTGAAGCATTGGTCCATTTCAGTATGATATTCAGTTTCCATTATCCTGATGCATTTTAATCAGTTATACTCTAATATTGTATATTTGCCTATAAAGTAATGGTAATTCTGCATACCACACAAAGAAAAACATTGATTATAAATTTATGATTCCCGAATAAAGAAAAAGTCTTTGACACTTAAATAACAGATTTAGATCTTCTACAGAAAATAGTCCATTGCTAATGATTCATTCACAATCTTCTGAAGTACAGGGAATATTTGTACAGTATATAACCACTGCAAAAAATATTTGTTTTGTCTTAATACATGGAGGTCTGGTTTAAACAAAAGCTTGGAGATACCTGACTGTCACTATTTTAAACCCATCTTTGCCAGATGCTTCTTGTGCCAATGGAAATCTACCATGAACAACTTGTTTGTAATTTGATGAGCATGTATTTTTGATTAAGTTTAGGAGATTAAGTCCCGGCAAAAAAAAATTCATTACATCGAAAAAAAATGGTGGCCCATAATTTGCTAATTTACTACAAATGAGTAGCACGCACTTAATTAAACAATAAAAAAACTTTCTGATGTATTTTTAAAGTTGTTTCAGCACACAGATATCATTGAACATGTAAAGTATATGTTATCAGTGGTTTAAAAAGAGAACCTATTACAATTACAATTAATCAAATAGTCAATAAAGACATAATTCCCACATAATAAATCACATTTTTCACTTTAATTATAATCAGATACAAATGAATTGTATTCAGCTGTTACAGGTATGAATGTTTATTAAA